GATCATCCATAATTGGAAGAAATGATAGCGTAGTCTGGACTCTATTTTCTTTGTTCTGTTAGTTCCTGTTCCTGTTTCCTATTAAAGTATTTTATGTAAGAATGGACAGTATTGTAAACTGAAGAATCAGTCTGCATGTTTTCAGTGCTGATTAGACTTGTTTATTTCATTGTGTTGTTTTCCTTTCTGTTAAAATTCTATATTTACATTTTCCAGGACATCCTGGCATTTGTGGTTTAAGGCTAGCTTTGTTTATTACAAAACAATTGTTGCCTAAAAGTGGGTTCTTTCTCCCCGTGCTTGCCGTGGGGGATTGTTTGATAGTTGAGGTTTTTCTATAACATTGTGCTGTCTTTACCTTAAAATCTAAAGTTACTAAAGATGCTATATAAATGACGATGAACTGAAACACATATGCTCTTGTGAATAGGCTTCATTCCTGTCAGACCAGCCAGAGCCCTACCTTCCCTTTCTGTCTCACTTCATTGAGACACAGATGTTTGCCACCTTCATTGACAACAAGATCATGTCTCAGTGGGAGGAGAAGGAGCCTATGCTCCATGTCTTTGACACTCGTATTGACAAGGCACGCCTCTATAACATCCGTGCTCCCAGCCTCCGGTCGTCCTGCTACCAGAGGTGCTCCATCCTCAAAGAGTCTGGTAAGCTCCGATGGGGAAGTGTGTGTGTGAGAGATTTATTTCTGTGTGAACATGGTTCAGATTGTTGGTGTGAGAAGCATGTGTTGTGAAAATGAAAATATTCCAGGCTAATTAACTTTCTCACTGAAGTGATATAAGTCTTTTTCAGTGGAAGAGTTTGTATGTGTAAGTAATGTTTGCTCAGAGATGAGCAAAAATGTTGATACATTTCTTTATATTGTGCTTATGAAATGGGAATTAGGTCAGTGATTGATGCAAAGTTGCAGTTACCATGTAAACCATGTACTAACATAGATGGAAGATGTTTGTACTTTCAAACTCTTATCAAGTTTGAAAGCCAACCTTTATTCTTCATCACAGCTTTGTTTGGAATTTCTTTGAATATTCTTCAGGAATAGTTATCTAGACTCCTTGAAGTACATGCTACAGCTCTTCTTTGGATGTTGTGTGCTTGTTGTTACTTCTCTGTCAACATAATCACATACTGCTTCAGTAATGCTGAGGTCTGTGATTGTTGTCATGCTGAAAGTTGTTGTCTGTTAAACACTGTGGTGGATAAAAA